ATTCGGGGAATGAAGAATACACATACACACAGAGTTAGGTAGAGAAACCCATCTTACCTAACAGGGAAATAGGAAGAAAAGGGCTTAAAAGAAATGGGGAAGGGAGGGTAGACTAAGTGAAGCAGAGGTCAGAAACAAAACAGAAGCTGAAGGAGGAGACATGGTGAAAAAAAGCACAGTGTAAGAGAACAGGACAGAGAAAAATACACAATTAGCAATCATAATTGTGAATGGGAAGAACTCACTCACGAAATGGAAGAAGATGGCAGAATGGATTAGAAACCAGAATCCAACAACATACTGCTTATAAGAAAAACAAATAAAAACAGAAAAGTACGTATAGAGTTAAAATAAGGGGCTTGAGCAGAATCCATTATGCTTTAGCTGAAATAAAAAGGGCAGGGATAGCAATCAGGATTTCAGAAAAGCCAAAGCAAAAATGGACCTAATTAAAAGAAATAAACAGGCAAACTACATTTTATTAAAGGGTACTATAGATAATGAATTAATATCAATATTGACCATATATGCAATAAATGACATAGCACCTAAATTCTTAAAGGAAAAGTTAAATGAGTTACAGGGAATAAATAGACAGTAAAACTAATAGTGGAGGATTCCAATTTACCCTTCTCGGCCCTAGATAAATCTAACCATAAAATAAATACGAAAGAAGTTAAGGAGATGAATAGAATTTTAGAAAAGTTAGATATGATAGACTTCTAGAGAATATAAAATAGGAATAGAATGGAATATACCTGTGCATGGTACCTTCACAAAAATCAACCGTGCATTTAGGCATAAAAACTTCACAAACAAATGCAGAAAAGCAGAAATGTGAAACGTATCTTTTTTCTGACCATAATGTAATAAAATTACATCTAACAAAGGACCTTTGAAGAAGAGATTAAAATTAATTGGAAACTAAATAACTTAATCCTAAAGAATGAGTGGGTTAGAGTATATGATTGTAATAGAATAATATTGTTCTATAGGAAACGACAGGATGATTTAAAAAAAAAACCTGCAAAGACATACATGAATTAATACAAAGTGAAGTGAGCAGAATCAGGAGAACATTGTACATAGTAACAGTGATATCGTGCGATGAAGAATTGTGAATAACTTAGCTATTCTCAGCAATACAACGATCCAAGATAATCCCAAAGGACTTTATGATGAAAAATGCTATCCACCTCCAGAGAAAGAACTGATATTGTCTGAATACAGATTGAAGCATGTTTTCTCTCACTCTCTCTCTCTGAGTTTTCTTGCACAAAATGACAAATATGAAATGTTTTACATGATTGCACATATATAACCTATATCAGACTGCTTATTGTCTGAGAGAGGAGAAAGGAAAGGGAGGGAGGGAAAGAATTTGGAACTCAAAACGTCAAAAAAAAATGTTAAAAACTGTTTTAACATTTAATCGGGGGGGGAATAAAATATTTAAAGAAAAAAGAATGAGTAGGTTAAAGAACAAATCATAGAAACAATCAAATAATTTCATTAAAGATAATGACAACAACGAAATTACATATCAAAATTTGTGGAATGAAGCTAAAACAATACTTAGGGGAAATTTTACATCTCTAAATGTTCACAAAAATGAAAAAAATGAAGAGTAGATTAATGAATTGGGCATGCAACTAAAAAAACAAAACAAAACTAGAAGACCAACAGATTAAAAAAAAACAAACCAATTAAACACCAAAATAGAAACCCTGAGAATCAAAAGAGTGACTAACAAAATTCAAAGTAAAAATAAACCAAACAAAACAATTGAACTAATGAATAAAATTAGGAGCTCTTTAAAAAAAACCCAATAAAATAAACATCATTTCATCTTAAAAAAGAAAGAAAATCAAATTACCAGTACCAGAAATGAAAAAGGTGAATTAACAACCAATGAAGAAATAAAAGCAATTGTTAGATGCTATTTTGCCTAACTACATGTCAATAAAATTAACAATCTAAGTGAATAGATGAATATTTACAAAAATATAAATCACCCAGATGAACAGATAAGAAATAAAATACTTAAATAGCCCAATCTTAGAAAAAGAAATTGAACAAGCAATAAATGGACTCCCAAAGAAAAAAAATCTAGGACCAGATGGATTTACAAGAGAACTGCATCATTTAAAGAACAGTTAATTTCAACACAACATATTAAAACTGTCTAAAAAAAAAAGAGATAAAGAAGGAATTCTACCAAATTTCTTCTATGACACAAATATGGTCTTGCTACTTATACCAGGGAAAATAAAAACAGAGAGAAAAAAAAAACTACAGAGCAATTTCCCTAATGAATATTGATGCAAAAATTTTAAATAGAACGCTAGCAATGAAATTATAGTAATATATCCCAAACCCGGGAAAAGTAATTGAAGGAATAAGCATAGGCAATGAGAAAACAAAACTATCATTTTTGCAAATGATATGATGGTTTACTTAGAGAACCCTAGAGAGTCAATTAAAAAATTAATCAAAACAATTAACAATTGCAGCAAAGTTACAGAATACAAAATAAACCCACACAAATCATCAGTGTTTCTGCGTATTACCATTAAAACCAAGCATCTGTTTTTGGAAGTCTAAATATGTATGAAGTTTATCTGAGTTTATATGCTTTTTTAAAAGTTTGTCAATTTGTCCTATCATTGGGGGAGTTTAGACCCTGTTTTGGAAAGTCCTATAGTTTTCAAGGGATCCACTTGAGAAACATGGGGTGCTACATGTTTTGCATAGAGATTTTGTCTGGACCTCCATCTGGATTTCTCTATTTATTGACAGGTGGTCCCAGGGAGAAAAGTGTGAGTTGCCCTATGTGCTGGAGGGATCTAGGAAAGAATTTTCACCCAGGTTGCTTCTCACGTTTCTGTGAGGAGCTTCTAGTTAGATCCCAGTTTCCTAAATGATCTTGGGAGAGCAATATGAGTGATGGAAGGGCATATTTAGGATAAGACTTTCTCTCTGAAAACTTGTTTTCCTGTTTATCTTTTCCCTTTTGTTAATTTTTTAATTTCAATTAATTTTTTTCTTCATTATCTTGGGTTAGGGCAGGACCTTATAAATGCTAGGCAGTAATCTATGAGAATTTTACAATATGTTGCTTGTTGAATATATACAACTTTATATGAGGGAGTGACTGCAATCTCTAGGCCCACAATCTGTGGTTGGACTGGGTCCTCACAACAGATTTCATTTGGGAACTGTCTTTAGGGCTATGCTGAAAGGAATACTCAGGCATGGTACTTAAGAAGCCATTCAGATCTGTGCCGTTGGACTTTGTTGAGACTCTAATGAAAAGCATGGGGAGAAGGCACTGGAAACGACAATGTCTGACCTTCTTCCAGCTTCCCAGAGAATTTTCCAGAATTGGGGAAATGAGACAATGTGCTAAACATATACCAGTTGATTTTCTGAGGATAACAAGCATTTAACTGGGGGAAGAGAGAGAATAATGAGGGTAATCAAGGGAACCTCGCACATAATTGTAGCATGTCCCCTGAAGTTGAGCAGGTACCTTTGCCCATCCTCGTGGATGAGCCCCTCACAAAGGACAAGGGAAATCAGAGGCTTCTGGTTGATTTATGCCCTATCACCCCATAACTGGAAGCAGCATCAAAGAGGACTAACTATAGAGCAGCAACAGCTATTCACTCAATAGACTTTATAAGGAGACACATTCTGCTTCTGCTCTTCCTTTATGTGACTTGAGACTCTAAGAACTCTTCCTTGGAGTACTTCTGGGAGGCCTGTCAGCTATAGCAATTGTCTACATGTGTCAGCCAGCATATGTGCTGCCTCTTCTGCTTTGAGATTCTTTCCTGGAACATAGGTTACTGAATAGCAATCCTGAGATGAAATTTCTAGCCTTGGTGGCAATGCCATGAATTGAAGTAACCAGGAGCTCTTGATCTACAAACTGGTTGCCCAGCTGGAGGTGTTTCCTGCAACTATTACAATGCTTCTTAAAGAAGATTATGATAAGAGGCAGCTAGGCAACATAGTGGATGAGCTCTGGCCTTGGAGTCAGGAGGACCTTAGTTCAAATCCAGCCTCAGACACTTGACACTCACTAGGTGTGTGACTCTGGGCAAGTCACTTAACCCTGATTGCCTCACCAAAAAAGAAAGGGAAAAAAAAGATGATAATGCTCACCAACACGTGCATGAGCCATGCCCTGGCTCACCAAAAGATAATGGATAGTGAGTAAATCATATATACAGTACAGAGTAGAAGTGAAGATGATACCATTTGCGGTCCCACTAAATGTTTCTTCTTAACATATCATGTTTTAGGTATTTATGAATGTGCTATTTATTATGAGTGTTTTGTGAATCATTTCTTTTTGTAGTAGAGGAAACAAATAGCAGTTCTATCCTGCCTTGCTCCCTCCAAAAAAGAAAGGGAAAATGCTTGGAAACTTAGATAAAAGTTAATAGGAAATGGGTTTAGACCAGAATGGAAGGGTATGTATATCAGAGTTATGGAGGGGGAAAAATTCTTAAACCATACGATACACCTACCTGTAAACAGGCACACTTACACACAGACATATATTCTGTTATGCTACATATACATACATATGTGAAGAAAGAATATTAAAAAGACAAAATAGCTGGTACACTTTGGAAGAGTGTACATTGCGGCTTTGGTATCTATATTTCCTATATTAAAACAAAATGTATTAATTAAAATGTTTTTAATCTCTGGATCCAAGTATGTTGCTTTACTTAAAGGAAATACTTTACATGGGGTACCATGGTTTCATTCTAAGAATGTAATAATAGGGTACATTTTCTTGGTTTTATCAAATACCTTATTAAAATCACAGCTGTTAACAGTCATTGACTTAACAGGAATTAAAGACTTTTCATCAGAGGGAAAATGTCAAAAGATCCAGGCATATTTTGCTTTTACTACCAAGTGTCCCCAAATCCATTAAATTAAAAATTGCCCACCAAACCCCCAGCACATGAATACATTACCTCCTTTTTTTCCCGTGAACAGGACCTGCTTCTTCCAGCCTTTCGCAGAGTAGGACCTGTAGCAGTTCAGAAGCATAGCTGGAGATTATCAGTACTTTAGAGCTACAGATATCACAGCAAAACTCTTTTATTTGTTCATTCAATAGGCAGGACCAATCACTATCAAGTGATTATTAAGAAAATGTACCCTATTATTACAGTGAAGGGAAAATAGCGTCTTTAAAAAAAATACACCAAGATATAGAGATTCACATTATTTGACTGTAATGAACAAAGATTCACATTATTTGACTATAATGAGCTATAATGACTATACATAATATATATAATGACTATAATGAACAAAGCCTCAAACCCTTTAATCTAATATATTATCTGCATTCAGGAAGGGCTGGAAGACTTTAGTTTCCTAGTTGAATTAAATCTTTATTAAGTTGTTCGAAATTATATAAACTGACTTCCACAAAATGTACTATTCAGCAAGCTCATGTGCACCTTCTGGTGAATACATACCACCATATTACACTGAACATCTGAACTCAGCATCTTCAAAGAATGGGCATTCTTGCCACTTGAATTAGTACTAATCACACACATTTCACATAAACTGGCCAACAGAAATTTGCAGATACACATAAATTCAATAGACTAACATCATAATGTTTAAATATACTGCTTCATGTTCACTTTTCAAAACTTTTATAGTCACATGAAATTGAATTACTTTAAAGTGGAAGATTAAAGAATATACATATTAGGAACTAAACTGCAAAATTCCAGAACTTTCATCTATCATTTGCAAGAGTAACTTTGCCTCCCGGTTAGTCTAAACATCATCTTTAGGGGCTGACATACCTTTCATGGGTCACAAAGCCTAACATCGAGGCTACCAGCAGAGATGCATTTAAACTATCCTATAATGAAGAAGTTTTAATTCTTGTTTTGGGGTTTTTTGTTTTTGTTTTTTTGCTTTTTGGTAAGGCAATCAGGGTTAAGTGACTTACCCAGGGTCACATAGCTAGTTAAGTGTCAAGTGTCTGAGATTGGATTTGAACTCAGATCCTCCTGACTCCAAGGCCAGAGCTCTATCCACTGTGCCACTTATCTGCCCCGAGAAGTTTTAATTCTTAAAAAAAAAATAAGAGAGAGACAGGAGAAAAATCCTGTGCCCTTCTGCTCATTTATTTCAGCATTTCAATGTTTTCATACTTCACAAGTTCTTTCAAATAGTTGAAAGATCTTCTTGCATTTAACTACCAAACACTTGACCACGGTATCTGTCACAGATCTTCATTTTTCCATACTGAATATATGAATATCCTGTTCTTTCAACTAAGCCTCAGATAAATGTGAGTTCCCATAAAATAATTCACGAATATTCTTGTGTACTTAAATAACATCTACAAAGACATACATTCATATACATACACACACACACACACACACACACACACACACATATACATTTGGGGGTCTGAGGATACCCACCTGCCACCAATTCTGAGCTCCAGTCCCTGTGATAATTTTGCAGGGCATCCTTGTATTCTATATGGTGACAAAGATGAAAAAACAAAAACAATAGTAGTGTCCTTTTGCAATGACATCTAGGCAACTCTTTCATTTCACAGAAGACCAACCTGCTTTTTCCTGAACTCTCCTTCTTTCCCAGGACATGCAGCCAGAGAGAGGGACTAACTGCATGTGTCTAATTTAAGAAGGGGGGAGGAGAGGGGCCTGAGGTCTAAATATGAATGTGTCCATGACCACCCCACCCCATCCCAGTGCTTGTGATCAAGTGTCCCTTGGGTTTTCCGGGCACCCGTTTCCATGGGTTACCTACAATAGTATCAATAACTCACATTTGTAGAAGTTATTAAGGTTTAAGAACATCACTGTGTGGTAGGCAGCACAAGTATTATTACCCCCAATTTAGAGATGAGGAAACTGAGGTTGAGAAGTCATTAAATGATAACAACAACTATAATAACCTGACATTTACATCATACTTTAAGGTTTGCAAACCACTGTAAATACGTTATTTCATTTAAACCTTACAATAACCCAGTGAGGTCAGTACTCCAGGTATTTGGGGGAGGGAGAAGGGAGGGGAAGTAGAGAGGTCTGGACCTGTGATCTCATCAGTGACTGGAGGGAAAATTCCCTTCTTCATCAATGAAGATCAGCAACTCATCTGGTACACACAGGGTTAGATATCTGGATGAGGACACTGAGAAGTTAAGTGATTTGCCCACTAGTATAGATCAGAAGCAGGACTCAGACCCAAGTCTTTTTGATTCTAAGGGTGATTATCTATCCACCTTACCAAGCTGCTTCTCTCTACAGTTATTGTTATCCCCATTTTAGAGATGAGGAAACTGAGGCTAATGATCACATAGCTAGTAAGGGACAGGGCTGTCATTTAAATCCAAGTTTCATGACTCCAAATCCTCTGCTTTTTCCACTATGACATTCTGCGCATTTTGTCTATTAGGTGAAACAGGCAAACTTATGTTTGTTAAAGTGGTAAGAAATTGCCCACGATACTAAAAGTACAAGAAGATTGTCCAGATCAATTCAATATACATTTAATAAATTCTTATTATAGAAGAGGCACTGTACTGGGTTTACAAAAGAAACAAAACAAAACAGCCCCTTGCCCTCAAGCGGCTTACATTCTAGCAGGGGACAGTTTAGTACAAACTATATGTAAAATAATATAACAAACTACAAGTTAGTGACAGACACTGAGAGCTGGAGAGATCAGGAAGGTGGCACCCAAAATGCTCTTTGCCAAGGGATGCTACAAGGCAGAAATGAGGAGGGGCTGTACTACAAACGTGGAGAGTAACCAGGGAGAAGGCAAGGCGAGGGGAAATGGATTATCACTTAGGAGGATCCGCTGGATGCATAATATCAATCGACCAGTCCATCAACAAGCATTTCTCTAGCATGTCCCTTAGGTTCCATGGTACAGATACTGAGACAACAATAAAACAGACTCTGACCCTCAAAGAAATTACTTTCTCACTAGGAAAACTAAATGCATTCAGACAAATATAAACACAAGGCAGACAAAGTAAATACAAGACAACTGTGGAGGGCAGGTGAGGAATTAGGAAAGGCTTCATGGAGGAGGTGGCATGGGAAACGAGCTCTAAAGCTAGGAATCGATTCTAGGAAGCCAAGGTGAGACAAGAGTACATGGCAGTCATGACAGAATAGCTAGACAGGGATGCCTGGACTGTAAAGTCTGAGAAGGAGAATAATGTCCAGTACAGTTACAAGAAGGCGCTTGGGGCCAGGTTATGAAGGGCTTTAAATCCCCAAAATCCTAGACAGCAGAGTTTGCATTTTATCCCAGAGGTACTAGGAGACACAGATGATTTTTGAGAAGGGGAAGGACAGGGTCAGATCTGTGTTTTGGGAATATAAATTTAGCAGGTATGGAGAAGGTGGATGGAAGAAAGGAGAGACAGCAAGGCAACCAATTAAAAGTCCAGTGTAATTTGGGCCTGAACTAGGGCCCAAATTTGAGGAATAAGCAAAACTAGCAAACAGTTCAAAGGAAGCTGTGTGATGAGAGTGAAGAGCATGGGACAAGAAGTCAGGAAGCCCAGGTTCTACTCCTGGGGCTGCTGTTGTGTTCCTCACTCTGAGCCTCTATGACCTTTTTGATAAATGAGGGGCTTGGACTGGATATCCTTAGGGCATCCTTCCATTCTTCACATTTTTAGTTGTGTGCTTTAAGAGTCTTTCAAGCTCTGACATCAACTCTGCATTCAGAGGTTCCTTCCACCACTAAGGTACCATGATTTTACAATTCATCCACAAAAATCAAGCAGCAGTTAAAAATTAGGAAATGGTGGAAAAACAAAACAAAACAAAATTACCATGGTAAAAGCACAGAGATTAACTACTTAGCTAATTTAGAGTGAAATTTCTCATTTGCAATTTCAAAAATGAACCTTCCACTAGAGTTAAACCTTTATTTATCAATTTGGAAAACAATTTATTTGAAATTTCCTTTAGTTAGCTTTCATTTGTGAACAGAGACAGTTGGTGACACTGTGGATAGAACACTGGGCCTAGAATCAGGAAAACCTGAGCTCAAATCCAGCCCCAGACACTCATTAGCTGTACGACCCTGGGCAAGTCACTTAACCTCTATTTGCCTCAGTTTCCTAAACTATAAAATAGGGATAATTATAACACCTACATGCCTGGTTGTTGTGAGGATCAAACGAGATAATATTTGTGAAAAGCTAGTGCCTGGAACAGGGTAGGAGCTATATAAATACTTATTCCTTTTCCTTCATTAGATACACTTAGCACTGCATAATTTTTTAGAAAGCTAGTTACCCAAGAGCCAAGGTAACATAAGCAATACACAGCAAATGGAAGATTTGAACTGGATGCCATCTCCAGACAGTTCTTTCCATTATACCACTCTGTCAATCTGAATGATGCCTTTAATTTTCCTAAAATGCTTTCATACCTATTATCTCATTCTATCCTCAAGCATATAATGCACTACATTAATGCAAATCAAGGTTTCTAGGGAAAAGGAGCCCTTTCTTTGTACTACACCAGGTGACATGCTTTAGCTACGGTTCTGTAAATAATGCCAGGTATACACTATGCAAATGGACATCACTTTATTTAGCAGATAAGTTCTTAAAAAAACACATATATTCAATCTATATTTTGGGAGTGAAATTCTATTTTCTCATCAACTTACTTTCCATCAATTTCCGACATGCCCTAGCTCTATACCAGGTTACTCTTCAATGATTTACTTACTTCAATGACTTTTAAAGTCTCTTCCTCCTAACCTCTAATTTGTTCCAATTCGATAAGCATTTATTAAGTACCTGCATGTGCCAGGCACAGTGCTAGAAAGGGGGAAATGCAAAAACCAAAATTAAGAAGTTCCTACCCTCAAAGAACTTATAGCTTAGTAGAAGGAATACAGCATGTTTGGATAAGTAAGTTTTATATACATGTATAAACATATATGTGTATCACAAATACACATTTGTTAGTAATAACACCTAGAAGAATCAGAAAAGGTTTTGGACAAGATGTAACACTCCAGCTAGATTATGAAGACAGCTAGGACTCCAAGAGGTAGAAAGGATGATGGGGGACACAAGGGTGAACTTTCCAGGTTAGGGAGACAGCCTGTGCTATGGAGAACTACAAGTGGGCCATATGCCTGGAATGGAAAATAATGTGAAATCAATCCAGAAGGACAGGTTGGAGGTAGGTTGTGAAGGCCTAAAATGCCAAATTAAGGCATCTTTATTTTACAGTAGAAACAATAGGTAGCTGCTGAAGATTTTTGATTAGGGAAAGGTCATGGTGATACCTGTGTTTTAGGTATCTGAATCTGGCAACCATGTGAAGAATGAAGCAGAGAACATGTATAACCTATATTGAGTTGCTCGCCTTTTCAATGAGGGTGCGTGGGGAGGGAGGAAGGGAGAAAATTTGGAACCCAAAGTTTTAAAAACACATGTTTAAAAAAATGTTTTCACATGCAACTGGGAAATATGAAATAAGGAAATGGGGTACAGAAGTCTATCCTGCCCTACAGGAAAATAGAAGGGGAAGTGAATAAGAGAAGAGGGGGGAGAGATAGAAGACAGGGCAGACTAGGGGAAGGGGTATTCACAATGCATGCCATCTTGGGGTGGGGGGAGGGGTGAGATGGGTTGAAAAATTCAGAACTCAAAATCTTGTGGAAGTAAATGTTGAAAACTAAAAATAAATAAATTTGTATTAAAAAAAAAGAATGAAGCAGAGAGGGAAGAGAATGGAGACTTAAGTAGGAAGCTACTGCAATTGTCCAGAACTAGGTCCTGAATAAGGATGGTGGTTGTATGAGTGAAGAGAATCAATGCAAGAGATCTTACATAGGTAGATATTGTAGAGCTTCTCTCTTAAGTATCTGCTGATCTGTAAACCAACATTTAAGAGCTCTAGGATAGCTACTGGATAGTGAAACAATGCTTTGCGCTGACATGTAAGGTTCAGCTTAAGGCAGCCCAACTTGTATTAACTCTCAGTGTAGTTCTCAAAAAAGTCAAGAAAGAATGTTGGTGGCCACTAAAGCAACATGGCATAATGAAAAAAGGCCTGGACTAGAAGTCATAAGAAGATAGATGTTAGAGCCGGAAGGGGCTTTAGAGAGTTTTTAGCCCTCTCATTTCACAATTATGAAAACTGAGGCTAAGAGAGAACAATTAAGTTAACTCAGGTCACACAGGTAGTAAATAGCAGAGCTAGAATTGAAACCAAGGTCACAGACTCATAGATGTAGAACTAGAAGGAAACTTAAAGATCATCTATATCAACCCCTTCATTTTACAGGTCAGGAAACTGAGCCCAAAGTTCAAGACCTGAATTTTAGGTTGGGCTCTTCCATTTATTACCTGTATGACACTGAGAAAATTACTTCACTGTAGATCTCAGTAATATAAGATTGAATTAGATATCCTCTTAAGATATGAAGATCTGACTCTGAGACCTGAACCTCACCCTAG